GGGGGGGAGGGCTCTAATACACCCATCCCACCCTCCAGCAGGGGCTGAAAACCCCCCAGACTGAACTTCCTCCATTCCCTTTCCCCCCTCCCATTCTGAAAACAGCTCAAGGCAGGCAGGGAAGCAGTGCAGACCAAAGTTATAGAAGATGTTGTATTTTGAAACCTCTTCATCTGACCCATCATGCAATGAGGGGTCGGTTTTGCACCTGATCAGCCATTTTTGGAAGCTGTCTGCAGATGTGCACTTGTGTTTAGTCATGGCTAATAAACTGCTTTCTGTGGCAAGATAGGACAACAATTGTCACTTAAGTCTGCTCCCTATATTATTAAATCCTGCAAAGGAACAAAGAAACTGAACAACGTTCTTTTTAGAAGTGGCTATCCTGATATTTTTCTATTACCCAGTGCTTTTACTGAGGCAAACATTTATTATTTATTTAATAAATATAGTAATCAACCTTATGATTTGATTATTTATTTTTATATCAGTGTATCTGCTGAAAAACAATGCCTATCCAATAAATTGCTGAGCAGTTTATTGAAATGGAATCAAATTCAAAGGGAAGTAGCAAGTCACCTGTTTTCCCACAAGTGGAATTTTCAGCAGAATCCTCCTCTGTCATGGGAAGGTTATTTCAGCCCAAGCACCTCACATATTAGTATTATAATAACATGTTGACGCTGCAACTAGAGCAGAGTCCAATCTTTCCAGGCACTGGACAGACACACTTTTAAAATCTGTGCATATAGCTTCACTTCAGGCAACAGTGTAGTGCAGAGATATCCGCCCTGGCTTTAAACAAGCTTTCTGTGCTGGAAACAACCTACCTACAGCAGCACAGAGCTCAGCCTGAGCTAATTTACCCTATTCATCAGTTAGATAAATTAGCCCACTCTGAATTCCATGTGGCCATAGCTAGACTACATATGGCATCCAAGCCAGCCTGGGTATCTTATACTTCACTGCAATCTGTGCTGTAGCTATACCCTATGTTTCCACTCAGAAAAGTTTACTATCTTGACAGACAAGATGGATGGAAAAAGAAAAGGCATGAAAGAGGAGGTTTTATCATTTCCATTTGACACCTTGAGAACCAAAGTCAAAGGAGATTAAGTGTTAGGAGCTCAGGCATACAGGGCTTTTATGAAGGTGTTAGGAACAGAACCTAGATTATTGTTTCCCAGTTGTGCCTCTTCATATACATGTGGTTTTTTATGCCACTTTTCATAGTACTGATGATTATAGTTATACAGTGGGATGAGAGGTAAAGATAGGTTCTCTGGGGGTGAATGAAGCCAGAGGATATTGTGGAAATCTTAAAATACCATTTATAATAAATTCATATATTTTTAATTTCATTGTTTCAGTGGATGTAACTAACATTACATAAACTCATTGACATACTTAACTTTCTAATGAATGAATTATATTACTGAAACAAAGAGTTTATCAGTCCCGTTATCCAATAATGTTACAATGTTAGCATTTTTTCCCCCCAGTAACTCCTGGTCAAACTGTTACTGTGGTTACGCAAACCACAGTAACCAAGGAAACCACCATCTCCAAACTAGAAATGCCATCTTCCTTGCTTCTGGAGGTGCCAGCCCTGGCTGACTTCAATAAGGCATGGGCAGAACTCACTGACTGGCTTTCTCTACTGGATCGAGTAATAAAATCCCAGATAGTAACAGTGGGCGATCTTGATGACATCAACGACATGATCATCAAACAAAAGGTATGACAGATATTTCAATGTGGATTTTTTAGAGTTGAAAGCTGAAAGCAGCTATTATAAAGTTAATAATTTCAGCAGTGAACACAAAAGAAACATTTAAATTAGCATTTGTAATACACTAAGTGCTGTTAAGCTTCTTTGTTATATAAATAGATTCAAAGATTTGAATATTAAGGTAACGGAGGAACAAAATATATTTAGTTTTTCATCATAAAATCACAATTCACAAATTGTGAGAGTGGTCCCTTTTATGAGCATATCTGTTGCAGTAATGAAATTGGATCTCTTTAATTCTATCTTACTTACAATAAGCCCATCACTGCAGTATCACAAGTGTAAAATACGAAACTCAGAAAAAAATGAAATATGTAGAAAGATCCAGGATTTAAACAGAAAAAAAATGTATTGCTATGTATCTTTATCTTGTTTGACTGTTTCTGTAATAACTTTCCGAGATGCTTGTATCCTGCTGTCATCCTGTTATAAAAAACTCCTCAGTCCCCTTAAAAGAAAAAGAACAGCTCATTAATGCAAGTGTTTTGTCAGCAGAATGGCTAAAGTGTTACTTATCTTTGAAAATACACGAAAATATGGAAATATATGTGTATGGGCAAAAAAACCCAAAACTTTAACTTCAGCAACTTGGTAGCAATAAAAGTAATTTTTTATTATATAGCTTGAAAGTAATTACCTGCCTTCCAGATTTAACAGTGCTCAGTATAAAAGATTCAGCTTGCCTGTGCAAAACTCTAAGTGTTAAACTTCCATTCATTTGAGCTCTTGTAAACTAAATTTAGGACTCTGTATTATAAAATACTTCTCAGTTTCCTCTTTTAAATCCCAGAGGAGGGAAGTTAAAATTCTCTCCCTTTATTTCAAGAGGAAAAAAAGAGAAAGAGAATGGAACTCTTTTATAGCACTACAAAGAAAAAAATAAAGAGAATGAAGCAATGTATGGGTCTGCAAGAGAGGTATTAGTAAATACATATAGCATTAGGGGTTTTTCTTGTTCTTTTCTTCTATTTCTCATTTTCATAACTTGTGTTTTTTATGGTTATTTTTGCCAGAGACTTTTGCTGTGCATTATCTTCATGAAAAGCAAAATATTTCTGTTCTCATCTCTAATCAGCGATCATAGAATCTGTCAATATTTTCAGTGAACATGCATTTCATTTCTTAAGAGCTGCATAATTCTATGTATGAGGATGATACAACATGATAGACTCAGGAAAGTCGATTAAAATAGTTTTTAAACTATTTAAAATATTATTTCAGTTGTTTTTTAAGTTATATGAAAAGCAAAGATAGGATATTTTGGATGAGTTTTGCATGTTTACATCCTTTTGCACTTTCTGTAAATGGCTTAGTTTTTAAGAGTGCATATTTTTGATACTTAGTTTTAAATCTCACTTTTCTTCCTTGTTCCTCCATTTACACAGCCGATCCTTCCAGAAGGCAGAAATGTTTACTCACAGAGGCCCCCTTTACAAAAATAAGTGATATCTAATGATCATAACATTTTCTCTTGGGCAGTAACCTTGTATTTGGTCTACATGCTGTAAAATGAATCATCTATATCTCTAACAGAGCTAACCTAAACATAGTTTTTCATGTAGAATATACTTTAAAGTACGTATATTTCAAGAAAGTGCAAAAAACTATGTTTAAGTGCAAATTGTGTTTTTGTGAATTCCACCCAGGGGGTTAGATCAAAAATTGATCAAATAAACTACAGTCAATCTTGTTGCTTGATTTAAATCAACCTACACAGGACTTAAGCAGAAGTTAGGTACCTAAGTCATAAATGGTGATCAAAATCAACTCTAAGCCAGCAGCAGCAAAATCATTTAATAGTTAGATTATTTATACACCTTCATTTTTGCCTGAAAGCTTACCCAGTGTCTTGACTTTAGGCTACTGTGTCTGCTGAGAAACAATCCAGATCAACCATTTAGACACCTAATTCAGTCTCTGACTTCTTAGATAGCCCTAGAGCCTGCCTCATGAATGTTGGCTGCTAAGAGCATGCAAACCATTACAAACACAGCCAGAGATGGTGGCTGTGGCAGAAGTTGATAGCCAGTTTGCTCAGTGGCGATGTGTAGTGGGTGCACGGGAGGTGCACATGCATCCCCTGAGAGCTGGTGCACCCGCTGACAAGATGCACTTCCTGCTTAGGCGATGGGCGGGGCAGCAGGAGGGAGCATGGGTGCCCTCCCTTAGAGTGCCAGCCAGGGAGTGGGAGCTCTGGACAAAGCACCACAGCCAGTTCCGGGAGCGCTGTGGCCATTTCCAGGAGCACCACAGCCATTTCCCATTTGGTGAGATTGGCCATGGGAGGACATCCCCCTGGTCAATGCAATCGGCCATGGGGAGACTCCCCCTTCACTCCCCCACCAATCTCTGACTCGTCGCTAGGGAGGCACATGCCCCCCGACTAAGGTGGCATCAGTAGCCAATGAATTTGCTATTATACCAATAATAAAATGGCCTGAAGGCTTCTCCAGAAAGGAACCTCTATTCCAGGCTCTCTGTGTCCTGAGAGGGCTGAAACTCACATCTCCCATTTCCTTTCAGAATTTCCTAATCGCAAAACTACAGAGTAGTCTGAATGAGGATCCCCTTTACTTTTCTTGTTAAAGATGGACTACTGGGCAGGCACTAATGCAGCATTCATGAGGCCAGAAGAAAGCAAGCAAGAGGAAGCATAAACTTGTAGTCCAAGGATGGGCAAGTCCTGTGTTGCACTCCCTACTACCAGACTTAATTATGTTTCTAACCAATGGTTGTCTAATGTAAAAATGGATGAACCGTCCTGATAGCTCAGGAAGGCTCTACCCAGGATATTTCCTGTAACCTGGCAGTAAGCAGTCTCCTGGGAAGTGGCATAAGTAGTACTTACAAATCCCCTCTAGGTATATAACAACACTAGAACCTGGATAACCCACTTTCTGTGCGACTGTTGTAACCACTATGCTATTAGGCAAATAAAAGGAAGTCTACTGACAATTTGAATAGAATGGAAAGTGCTAAAGTTTATCCTTAACTCAATGCTACTGTCCCATATATGCCCTGGTTCAGGCAGGGGCTTCTTCTCTGAGCATTATGGATCTCAAGATGACTGAAAACCCATACACAGTTAAATTCCATGCTGGTCAACTAGTGTTTGGTGCTTCCATTTTTTAAGACTGAATCTGAGGTACCTTGAAGGATAGTTTAATTGTGCAGAGACCTATGCTATAAACCTTTGTCTTTGTAAAGCATCTCAAATTGTGCATCCACACATTGCGATGCCCCAAACTATTAGACACTTCTGTAAATATCGGGCTATTTTAATACCATTCCTTTCATTTATTTTCTTTTCCTTTAAAAAGAACGAGACATGATTCCTTTAACAAATGCAATCAAGAGTATTTTAAACCTTCAAAAATACCATTCTCGTTGCAGTACATTAAAAAAGGTGTCTTACAAATCATTGAGGTTAAACAAGTGACCTTAATCTGTCCTTTCCTTACGCAGCAACATATAATGTTATTGAAAGTAAATCTCTCAGGGCATTTTGGTCAGGTTCATTTCACGCTGATTGTGTCACAAGATCATAGTCCACTAACTCTACCACATTTATGGAGGAAAAAGCTTAAGACATCATTAGCCCTCAAGTGAACTCAGTTTGTAAGTGTCCCTAGTCATTTGGAATTGTAAGACTGGTTTTATAATAACTTAGAGAAGTCACATGTAAAAATAAAATAAAATAATCTCATTTTAGTGTTATCTTTCTATTTTAAAACCACAAGCAGCATAGAATGCAGGAAGCAATGCATATGTAATGTGGTGGAAAGAAGTTTTTGTACAGGAAAAATAGATCTGTATGCCTTATAATTTAATCCTATCTATCATTAATTTTTTGTTTGTGAAAATATCATTGAAACCAGATTTTTTCCCATAATAAATATATCTTTCTCTAATGCAGATGTACTAAAACATTTAGAGAAGAATATACCAACAGGCAAATGGATGTCTTATGTGCAATTTTAATCAGTGCTTTTCAACCTGGTATACGTGCTGGAGTTCAGGGTTGGTCAGCACGTGGTAGGTACTGGTACATATTGAAAATGGTGTTAAAACTCTTCCTAAGGAATGAATATGCAGAGATGCATTGAGTGTAGGTGATACAAGCAGCAATATTTTGCAGGTATAGGTCAAAAAAGTTTGAAAATCATTGCTTTAAGGAAAAGACGCTTGAAATTCAGAACTTAATATTGGCATGTATGACTTTTTACCCCATGGAATCATCAAGGGAAAAATACTGTTCTGTACACATTGGCAGTACAAAAAGGATTGATCTTGTGCAATGTTGGGATTCAAGGTAGTGATATAAGCAACATTTCTGACAAAACAAACTAAGTTCCTGTCTATAACCTTCATCTCAAGTTAAAGTTGAGGCAAAATGATTAATATATTTTAAGGTATAGACTGCTTAGAGAAATGATGGAATAAAGTTCAAATCAATTGGCTTCAGATGATGCCTCATTATAGTCTCATGACTTTAGAGCAGTCAGGAAATTTTAGGCTCAAAGAGCCATTTATTTCCTATGTAAAAAAGAAAAAAAGAGTGGACACAGGGACAGGTTCAATAAATTATTCTCTTCTGCTTTATTATGGAAAGGTAGTAACTCTTTCTTATTTAGGAGTGCAGGAAGCCTCTGTTATAAAGGTGTATATGGGCATCCTTAGAAATTTAGCTTGGAACATTTTTCCCCTAAAATTTACCAGATTTCCTCTGAAAGCAGTGATTAGTTAGAAAAAAATCAAGGTTTTGAGCATGGGCAACTGGTGCCTCCAGTGGCCATTGAGCAAGTGGGGAGGTGGGTTCCCCTGTGGCCAATCTCACCAAACAGAAGCACAAGTGGTGCTCCCAGAAGTGCCTGTAGTGCTTCTCCTGGTGCCCCCACTCCCCAACCAACACTCACAGGGGAAACAGGCGCTCCCACCTGCCCCCC